AAACGAGGATAAAATGATTCTAGGAGCGTTGCGGGCGTTAAGTGGAACGCACCCTTAATCATAAATTCAAAAAACAAGAATTGTAATTATCATATAAAGTTAAATATATCAAACACACAAATATATATATATGGAAATCTTATCGTATTATTAATTCACGTTTGATCCAAAGAGAAATTAGTAACGGAAAATATAAAACATTAATTTATTTAATTCTTTATTTGATTTAATTATTGAGAGACGAAGGAAATCTTTAATTACAGACAGCTATAAAATTATTTACACTTACGATATTCCGTTGAAAATTATTAAATATTGTAATATCGTAAATTATATCGAAAAAAGATAAAAGTTCGTAGCACTTACTAAAGTCGAATGTCACAGATAGTTTTGGCGATAGAGTGTGGAACTTTTATTGTAGAGCATGTCGGGATCTACAAGAAAAGTATAGGTCTTCAACGTCCTATTTCTCGCCATTTCAGGTGGAGATAGTCGAAATTTCCATTTGAAAAACCGAGTACCTGGAGGCGTCCAGATCTCGGAAACGTAACATTTCCGCACATTCGCACTTGTAGCATTCAACTACATTTTTAAGTGCTACGTGCCTGCAAAATTTTATCAAAATCGGGTTTGAGTCGGATACGGAATTTTGGTCAAATAAATTGTTTTTTTTCAAGAATAATCTGTTGAAATAAGCTTTAGAGTTGCGCTAATTGCTTGCTAACAATAGGAATAACAATAAGAATTCTCATAATTGCATGATTAATTGATCACATTGTTTGCATTAACATAATCGTGCAGAAATCGAATTTTATTAAACCGCAACTATTTTTTCTGATCATTATAATACTAATTTATATAATTTAAGTATATATTTTAGATATTGCATATTGTACTTGGCATTGAAAAATTGTTTTATAAGTAAAAAATTTAAGAAATATCTTGAGAGATTGACAAAAAATAGTGAAAATTAGTGTGTTATATTGTTTATTGATAAATCTTATTTTGCCTACAACTTGTATGTACAACATGTAAATGAGAGTTATAGTATATTTTTCTTATTTTTGCATCTAAAATATTCAATTTCTATTTGCGGAATACGAAAAGAAAAAATGAAAAGTTTTATATATGAAGATCACCTTTTTATGTTTTTACAAGCAATACTTAACTAGATATCAATATCTAAATTGATAAAAACTACTGGAATTGAAACTTCAGTGCAAATACCACTGTTCAAACAAATTTATAGAGACAAATGACTGATGGCAATAACATGATAATGTAATCGAAGAGAAGGCCATTGTATGCAGCATTTATTTAGCATTGATTAATAATTAGCATGGTTTCTTTTCTTTTTTATCGTCATTTGTTAACTAGATTGATAATTTGATGTATTATTAACAATATGAAAAATCCTGAAACATAATTACTGAAAAAAAGCAATCATTAAAAAACCGTATCTGTGCATACGATACATGAAATGTGTACATATATGTTTCTAGAAATGAAAGCAAAAAAAATTGCGAACCAGATTGCTCAACGCACGGTTGGTAGATTGAGTAATAAGAATTTATGTAAGTTGTTACTCTGCTCAAATTTTTCCTATAATTATGTTTGCAAACGTAGTATTATCTTGACATTAGCTCTACTAGATCAAACAAAACTATCATGTGCAGATAATTGTTAAATTTTTGAGAATATTTATATCAATTAGTAATTGAAGAAAGAATTGCTTATTATAGTAAGTATTTA